CGTTGACACCCGGTGGGGAGATATAATGAGCATGTAAAACAGGATATTTAGATTTAACAAAACTAAGTATTTGGTGATATTGGCCTTAAAAATGAATAAAATAAAACAGGTTTCCCTTGTAATGTGAAAGTTTTCTGCATATATTTAATTAACTTTATCAGGTATTGTCATTCACATTAAAATGTGGATACATTAGAAAATTTAAAGTCAGAGTAAAACATACAGTATAAGCCCAGACACCTGACAATAAAAAGGGTAAACAGAGTTAATAGTATTTAGAGCCATATCAGTCACTCATATACAATTTGTTTGTTTCCACAGAGGAAAGGTGATTCTAGGTTACAATGAAGTGGAGATCTGTACAAAGGGTTCAGGCTACAGCTTCATCCATGCTGCAGACATGATGTACTGCGCTGACAATCACATAAAAAGTAAGTCACCCAGGAAGCCTTTTAAAGTCGTCTGTCAGGTCTAGAACGTCTCATTTCTGTTGGAATATCTTCAGTTCTGCTTAAAATTATAGGCTGATTAATATCTGGATATATACAGTTCATGTGCATTGATATGTGTGACTGTTTCTGTGTCCTGTGCAGTGATAAAAACCGGAGAAAGCGGTCTCACCACATTCAGGCTGCTGAGCAAAACTGGCGTGTGGCTCTGGGTCCAGGCCAATGCCAGGCTGGTCTTTAAAGGCGGGAGACCAGACTTCATTATTGCCCGGCAGAGAGCCTTGACGTAAGTATCACAGCGTTTACAACCTGAGAGTTCAAGTGCTACCAGATCATTTAAAAAACTGCAGCTAATTATTCATTTCATCCTTGGTTATTCTCTTGACAACATTTTTGATTAATTTATTATCATGTCTTGTTTTGTCCAACCAACAATCCCCCAAAATATTTAACTTACACTGACAGAAAAAGAAAGCAAATCTTCACACTGGAGAAGCTGGAAACAGTCACCGTTTGGCCTTTATGCTTGAAAAATGACTCAGATAGTGATTGATTATCACAGTTGTTATTTTTTTCCTCTTAATTAGTTGCAGTTGTAACAGAATAACCTCTTCTTCTACAGGAATGAAGAAGGAGAAGAACATCTACGCCTCAGACACCTGCAGGTGCCGTTCAACTTTGCCACTGGAGAGGCGCAGCTGTATGATATAATTCCAACTGTCGACGTCCCCGACATGTGTTCCGCCCCAAAGCAAAGGAAGCTTGACAACCACTCTGTGAGCTACAACTCCCTCCTGGGCTGCATGCTGCGTCAGGACCAGTCTATCTACTGTGAACACAACAGCGCCAATACCTTCAACTCCCTCAGTGATGCTGCCTTCAGAGACACCCACGCCACAGTCAGTGTTCCCGGTGATGCCTGGCAGCACTCTTCACCCAAACCTGCTGTGGGAAGCCTGGCAAACTCGGACACCACTGTTCAGGACATGATTGAGACACTGCAGCAGATCCTCGGGGACAGCGACCTCACTGAAACCCTGGATGTGGAATCTGATGAGCTCAAGAGCTGGGAGAGTATACTGCTGAAGATGAGCACCAACAGCAGCGATATGAGCAACGAACTGGATGACATTCTCAACAATGACATTCTGACTTATGTAGAAGAGCAGCTTCAGAAGGAGGGCGGGCTCAAGCTCCTAAGTCAGCTCGATGACGTACCGGCCAGCCTCTCCACTTTGGACCTCCAGAACCAGGGTTCTGGCCAAGGTGGGGCACAGAACTTCAACTGGCCTCTGGAGCCCCAGAACCAGCTAATACCAGCAGGGCAGATGATGACTAGGCAACTGACTCCAGGCCTTGGGACGATGAAACTGACCCACATGGATCGTCCACAGTTGAGTTCTTCAGGCTTAAACGGGTTAACCCTGCAGGAGATCACCTCCCAGCCAACGCTTTCTCTTTCTGTTGGTCTTGGCAACACAGGTGCTCCACTGGCCTTCAACCCCTCCTTGGCAAACTCTTGTGCTCAAACACAAAATCAGCTAAGGACCTCACAAGTCAACGCCCAGGACACCAACCTCGGAGTGTTCAGACAAACCAGTCAGCATCACTCCAACCAACTGGCTCAACCGACTCAGAACCACCTTCAGATGAAGACACCCAGCTTCCCAGTCGGCCTTCAGGACCAAAGTGCAGGACAGTTTAATCATGGGTTCAACATTCAGGACAACCAGTGGAACTCCTCTGTCCAAGCCGACAACTTTGTGCAAACATATGCCCAAAATATTTCAAACGAACCGAGTTTTATTGCAAGTCCTCTGTCGTCGAGCTGCTTACAGGGGGGCTTTGCACTTCAGACACAAGGCAATGACAATCAGAGACAGTCTTGGCCACTGGAGCAGCAGCAACAGCAGCTGATCTCAAATGGACCCCAGCAGATGGTTGCCTGCCTCAACCAAATGTCAGGGTCTCAAACAAATCCTGTTCCTGGAGTCACTGCTCCCCAGAGTGCTGTCGGTGGCAGGCCAATGTACAGAGCTTCTTTTTCATTCAGCAGGCCTGGGAGCCGCCGCCTCTGGCACCTTCTGGCAGCTGTATGTTCACAAATGCCACCCCGTCAATGCCCCTCTGCCAGAGAACGAACCTTGCCAGCAGTCAAATGCCCTCCAAGCCCTGCTTCTATCAGGGTCTTCCTGGAAGTGGTTCAGTGAAGGAGATAACAGTGATCCCAAATCCTAATGAGACAGCGCTGTCCTGCCAAATGACCACTGGTCTGGACCCAAACAGTCTGCTGGTGCAGCAACAGTCGTACCTAAACTTCAGTGAACAGACACAGGTAAAAACAAACGGTTTTACAACAACCAAGGCTAGACTAACATCTGTAAAGCTGAAACATTTCCATTTGATAGAAAGTAGTAGTAATACTTGTAAAAAGATGACAGTGGTTACTTACTGTATGTGTCACCATCTGGTTTTTTTCATATTTATTTACAAATTATCCAGGTTTCCACTCAAACTCAATTTAACTGGAGTCTAAATGTCCTTTAGGTATTTGTGATTATCTGTGCAAGCTGGGACAGACTCCAAACTTTTAAACAAATGATCAGATGAAGAAAGTCAGATCTAACTCGTTACTGGTCTTTTCACAGATCAACAGCCGTCCAGTTGTCGGAAATGAAGGGTTCCCCTTCCCCTCGCTCCCCAGTGGGAACCCATACTACTCAGAGAACAAATAGGAATCAGCTGCTGTGACCTGTGGTCGGCAGAGGATCCCAACAAAGACTGAAACTGCAGTTTAAAGGAAACAAAGAATCCTGTCTCTTTTTCATTAGGAAATAGTAATGACAGCTTTAAATGTGGT